CCCAGCCCCCCCCCAGCCGTCCCCCCCCAGCCCCTCCATTGGTGGGTTGATCCGGTTCTGTCCCGGGGCGCGGCAGAGTCCGACTGGGCCATGCCGTGCCATGCTGAACACTGGCCAGCGGGGGGAAACTGAGGCACACACTGTGCTGGGAAGGGTAGTCCCAGTAATTCGCAGGCTGTTGGGGGGTTACAGAGGGGGTGGGATGCGGGGTAGCTGGGGGGCCTAGACATGGGGGCTGTGTGACGTCTCCCCCCCACAGGAAGGAGTTCTGTGAGCTGTGCCTGGCCCGCGAGCGCCGGACCGACCGGCTCGTCGTCTGCAAGCGGTTCCGGAAGAAGGACGGCAGGAAGGTTCGACAGGCGGCCCGGAACGAGATCCTCATCCTGAAGATGTAGGTACCGGAGCAGCCCCCCCCCCGGCAGCCGGGCCGGGAGTACTGGCAAAGGGGGGTCCCTGAGAGCCTTCGGCACCTGGCTCCCAAGTCCCCTTCCTCCAGTCACCCTCCCCTCCTGCAAGGGGAAACTGAGGCAGGCCCAGCCTTCAGAAAATCCCCACGCGCTTGCACATTTCTGGCCTTGCTGCATCTATCGCCCCCCCCTCCCCCCCGGCACTGTTCCCCTTTGCTCGGCAGCTCGGGGGGGCCCTCGCCCTGCCCAGGGGTGAGGAGGTGGGGTTGTCCCGGCCTCTGGGGTTCCCATTGCGAATGACTCTGGCCTCCGGTCAGTCCCTCCCCTTTGCGCTCAGTGCATGGCAGAGGGAAACTGAGGCAGGTCTGGGCATCCTGGCGCTTGCCAGAATTGCCACGTGGGAGTCAGGACGTCTCTTTCGGCAAGAGCCCGTGTGGATCTGCTGTGCTGGGGGAGGGGGGGGTATCTGCAGCAGGGGAGGGCAGGTGGGGGGGTATCGCTCTGGAGCGGGGGAGGGCAGGCCAGGGGCAGGAAGGAAGCGGTGCCAATTGCTTGTCCCCCAATTCCTTCCCCCCCCCAGGGTGAGTCACCCCAACATCCTTCAGCTCATTGACACCTTTGAGACACGCAGGGAATTTTACATCATCCAGGAGCTGTGAGTGCTGGGGCCTGGGGCGGGGAACGGGGGGGTCCCATGGTTGGGGGGGGATGCCAGGGTTTGGGGGGTATTGGCTGGGGGCTGATCCCACCTTGGGAGGAGAGGGGAGTGGCGGGAGTGAGGGGGTATGGGTCGGGGCTGGGAGCAGGGGGGGAGGGGAGGGGACCCCGGGGCAGGTAGGAAGTAGGGGGGAGGGGGCTCGGGGGTGCCCCAGGGCTGAGCCCGCCGGTGCCGCCCCCTGCAGGGCGACGGGCGGGGACGTGTTCGACTGGATTCTGGACCTGGGCTGCTACACGGAGCGAGACGCCAGCAGCCTGATCCGGCAGGTGCTCGAGGCCCTGGCCTATCTGCACAGCCTGCACATCGTGCACCGCAACCTCAAGGTCAGGGACCCAGGCGTCCGGGCTGCCCCCACCACCGCTCTACCCACCAGTCCACTCCCCTCCCAGAGCCGGGGAGAGAACCCAGGAGTCCTGGCTCCCAGCCCCCCCCTGCTCTAACCACTAGCCCCCACTCCCCTCCCAGAGCCAGGGAGAGAACCCAGGAGTCCGGGCTCCCAGCCCCCCAGGTTTCACGGGCAGTGAGACTCGCTGTCTGGTTTCTTTAGCTCACATCCCCCCCCCAGTGGCCACGCCTGTGCCGTGTGGGTGGGGTGGTGGTCTTAGGGGTGGGGGCAGGCTGGGAGGGGGGAAAGGGGTGGAGTGGTGTGGGGCAGGCTGGTGGGAAGGGAGGGGGGAGTGTGGGGGCCGGAGGGGAGGGAGCAGGGTGATGCCAGCAGGGGGGCGCTGGGGGGCTGGCGGGGGAGGGGGCGCTGTGGGGCTGGCCCTGGGGGGCCAGCGGGGGGGGCGCGCTGTGGTGGGGAGGGGGCGCTGTGGGGCTGGCACTGAGGGGCCGGCGGGGGGGTCTGACGCCCAGTGTCCCCCAGCTGGAGAACCTGGTCTATCACACCCAGCAAAGCCGCGCCAAAATCGTGCTCCGGGATTTCTACCTGTCGCGCTTCGAGAACGGTGCCATCACTGAGCCCTGCGGGACGCCCGAGTACCTGGGTACGTCCCCCCTGAGTACCTGGGTACGGCCCCCCATCCCCCCAAGTTCCTGAGTACGCCTCAAGACGAGTACCTGGGTATGCCCCCCCAAGTACCTGGGTACGGCCCGCCCTTCTCCCCGAGTACCTGGGTACGGCCCGCCCTTCTCCCCGAGTACCTGGGTACGTCCCCCCCCCGAGTACCTGGGTACGCCCCGCCCTTCTCCCCGAGTACCTGGGTACGGCTCCCATACCCCCAAGTTCCTGTGTACGCCCCAAGACGAGTACCTGGGTACAGTCTCCCCATCCCCCCAAGTCCCTGGGTACGCCCCAAGATGAGTACCTGGGTATGCCCCCCCCCCGAGTACCTGGGTATGTCCCCCCTGAGTACCTGGGTACACCCCCCATCCCCCCAAGTACCTGGGTATGCCCCAAGACGAGTACCTGGGTATGCAACCCCCACGTACCTGGGTATGGCCCCCCCATCCCCCCGAATACTTGGGTACGCCCTCCCCCCGAGGACCCGGGTGCGAGGTGCCCCAGGGTACAATCTGGGCTCTCCCCTGAACTTTCTCACCCGGGCGCCTTTCCCCCGCCTTCGCTGCTCCTGTGTGAAATCCCCCCCGCAGCCCCCTCTGCCCTGCCCCCGAGTGAAACCCCCAGACCCCTCGCCCCCGGCCAGGGCGAGCAGCAGCCCAGTGCTGGGACAGGATCACACGCCCGGCCTGGCTTCTGCAGCCCCGGGGCCCCAGCACGTCCTTCACCACCGGAGCCCCCTGCCCCACTTCCCCGGGACCCCTGCCCCACTTCCCTGCCCTTCGGGGGCCCCTGCTCCACTTCCCTGGGACCCCAGCCCCACTTCCCTGCCCTCCGGGGGCCCCTGCCCCACTTCGCCGTGACCCCTGCCCCACTTCCCTGCCCTCCGGGGGTTCAGCGGTGCCACGAGCAGAGAGATGGGGCGACGTGGGTCCGGGGTGTGACACTGGGTACAACCCCCCCCCCCCCGAGTACCGGGTATGACC